ATATATATATATTGGTGACACGTTCTGTTGTGGAATTACCTACCACTTGGCATCCGTTTTCCAACTGCAACTCGAGTAGGTTAACGGATGCAACATCTCTGGAAATCCATTCGCAGGGAGGCAGATTTTATCGAGATACTCGTCCCTTGCAAATCACGTAAACTCGTGCCGCGATACTTCTGTCAACTTGTAGCTTTTCGTGGCGCAGCTCGTGTGCAGCGCGTATAACGAGGCGCATTTCCCGCACGCGTGAGTATCGTATGTACGTATCACAGGAGTGATGCCGACTCGCGTGAAATTTCTTTGAAACGTGCTTGAAACGCTAATTGTCCCTTGTCCAAACGACGAAACCTAATCTCTCGGGAAATGACCTCGTTCCGCGGAAGAGAGACACCGTGGGCCCTAATTAAAGAGGATTGCACGTTCGCGGTGTTACTTGATCTTTGCTGGCATGTGGATAGGGATAAAAGTCTGCGAGGCTTCAAGAATGTTTAAATTATACAGAGTATGTGCCGCTATTTACGAACGAATCTTTTCTATCTTAATTGCTCGATTGATAACTGACAAACTTACGATGCGGCTTACGCATTTCATGCGTACTTAGATATGCGTACGTAATATCATACAAAATTATTTCTTTTATTTTATTATTACTCAGTTAGATAATTCCAAAGTTTTGTAAACTGTTTCTTAAGAAACTGGGAAACATTCCCGTCTGATGATCTAAGATTCTTACACAATGTTCTATATTTTTAATATTTTTAATACTGTATAGAGTAATAGTTTTAATACTATATAGGTTGGATAGAAGTTTCTCCACAATCGAAATGGCACGTAATATTAGGGAAGCACCAGAAAGATACGGCAACGTGCAAAGAATACAATTTGTCTGCGAAACTCGTAATAGCGGAGCATGCATGTAAAGTGGCTGGTAGGATATAAACGAAGTATGCGATATACAGGCATGGCGTGTAAGTCCTTGAGTTTGAGTTTCAGTTTTAGGAGTAGACAAGTTTAAATTTGATCGGTAACTTCAAGTTCCTCGTTAAGAATCTTCGAGTACTTTCCTTGTTGCATAATTTTCTATAATATTACTTCGAGAACGTATGACGATGTTGAAAAACAATACATAACATATTAACAACGTAGATTTTAATCATTTATATCTTGATGATATTTTATGCATATCGTTGCCAGTTTTTTCCCGGTCGAACATTGCCAGCACATTCTATGTATGGTAAAGTAAGATAAAAATATTTGACAATTCTTTTGAAAGTACTTGAAAATTCTACGTATGTGTCTTACATGTTCTATATACGTAAAGTGAGATGAAAATATTGGAAAATTCTTTTCAAAATTCTTTTCAAAATACTTTTGAAAGTATTGTTAAAGAATTATAGTAGAAAATGTTCTTTGGACAATACAGTAAATTCGAATCCCTATTATCCGAATATTTAAATGTTTGAACTTTCCAAACAGAATATATTCTTTTCTTTTCCCTTATATTAAACTATCTTATATTAAATTAATACAATACAATATTAAGTTTTTTTCTTACTAAAGATTCTTTTTTTACATTAAACTATTTTATACGCACGTTTTTCATCATCACAAAAGGAACTTACTAAAATATTTGACGAGTAAAACTACGAGCGACTGAAGTAGAAAATTTATATCAGAAAAATTAAAATATTACGTTGTGGATTTGTGAGGAACTTAAAGATATGAAAATTAATAAAATAAAAATATACAAGAGTATAGAAGAATTATAACAGAATAGAAGAAATACACAAGAATAAAGAAGAATTAATAAAATAAAAGTAGGTTAGATCTCATTTTCTATGGTAAATAAATTCGCAATCTATTTATTATATGTTCGAAATATTTAAAGCAACTGTCCAATGAGACAAAAAATTTAATGGAAAAGAAAAGAAAAAAAATCACTGAATATGCCAAGCGTAAAAAAGTTAAAGACTTAACTTTGCGATATTTCGCAAGTAGTAGTGGCCGCGAGCCACTCGTCTGACGAAACGCGAGTTATACTACTGATGCCTCTCGAGGCGTCATCAAATTGGTAGGAAAATAACGCAACGGCGCGCACGAAACAGCAATTTAGGTGGTAAACTTTATGCGAGTGGACGCGCACTGAATGCCGCCGGTAATTGAATCTAATTCTTATTCCTTGTACGTGTTTCGTAAAGCCGTGACCCTCGTATAAGTCTAAGCTCGAGTACACTTACTACTACATTCCTCCATTACTCTTTGCCTCCTGTTGCTTTCTTATTCCTTCTTACGTTCATCCTCCCACATAAATATTTCTCTTGTGAATTCCTTCGTTATTTCGTTCCCTGCGACCTTGTTTGTGCTCGCATTCGGAAGTATGTTCTTTGAAAATGATATGCAGTGTGACTGTTGAAATTTATAAATAACGATTATTTATTCAATTTTTATTCAATTTAATTTAATTGTAAATATCCTCTTTCAAGCTAACTTTATTATAACAGTATAATTTTAATACTGGTAACAGTTATTCGGCTCTTATTAAAAGACGTGGAGGAAGAGTCTTCTCTTTTAGGGTAAAATATAAAAGCTAGGGATATTTGTTTAATTATTGTTTACTTAAGGTATTGGAAGTATAAACTTTATAAATAAGTGAAAAATAAATATTCTATACTCAATTGGAATCTTTTTCCAAGAAAATAAATTTGTGCAAAAATGCTATCTACGCTGTATTTTCCTGAAGATAATAAATAAAATAATAGTCAGAAAGTTACAGTTACTTCATAATTAATTGAAAGTTTTATGATTTATATGTTATGTTAACTGATTTATATGTTACATGCTTTAAAGGAGAAAAGTTTTAAAGCTCCAGAATTTTTGTAATTGTTCTTAATGTCCATTGGTCAACTCTTGGCAACAGTGTAATTATTTTTGTCGTAAACTGACGTAATAAATATTTTTTAATAATTTTCATGATGGATTTACATTACGAAATATTCCGCGAGTAACGTCTGTTCTACATCTATTGCAGAATAATTTGCAAATAGCAGAAAAAAATTGTATATTTATTATAATTATTACATATATTGATACATATTTATTGATATTCTCTGATATCTTATTGTAACTAGATTTCTATGCAAATTCGTATTTTGCAAAATATAATAAAAGTAGAAACTTTGCAAAAAATTGTTTATATATTTGAAAAATATTATACAGCATTTTGAATATTTGATATTTAGTAATATCTTTTTGTATACATGTACGATATTATATTTTATCATACATTAAACTATAAAAATTTTTTGATAACAATACATAGTAGAATAATAAATAATTTATTCCGGAAACCAATGTAATTATCTGAGGTATATACGATTTTATATGTCGTCAGATAGAAGCTACGCGTGCAGCAATATACATCCTGTAACATTTATTTGAGTTTAAATTTTAGAAGAAATTTAAAAAAAAAAAAAAGAAATTTACAATTTTATCAATCTCGTAGAGCAGAATATTCCTTGTCTCGTAGAGTTAACTATACTGAGTAGCGTACGTAAAACTTCAAAGACACATTTTGCTAACGATTTTTTTCCGTTAAGAAATCCCAAAACTATATCCCTTTAACTTGCACTACATCCCTTTGACACTGTTTATTCCGTGCAATGACAGCCATGATTCACAGCTCCTATTATCCACTACTTGATCAGGAGAGTCCCACGCGCGCTCACGGCTGAAAATTTCCTTCAGTGAAATGTCGTTGTTCCACTTCCTGCTTGGAACCGGCCGATTCATCAAGGTACAGCCATTAGCTAATTCGTTAATCCGTTTCTTCGTTCCGGCCGGCGGAGAGGTCGCGATCCCTGTTGTACCTATTAAATTGCAACGAAAAAGCTGAAGGACACCCACGTGGGCAATTAAAATGCTAATTCACATTGATGGGTTAATCGGCGTTGTTGTTTCAGAAAGCCCGATTGTTCCGGGCGCGTCGTCCGAGATCGTTCATCATTGTTGGCTGACGTATCGCGGTGGAGTTCGTGCTTCATCGTTCGCCATTCAAGGGAGTCACGCGTCCTTCTGGTAACACGCGTTCTCGACGCGACGATATTTCTTCGCTGGGATGCTTGTTTTACGAGCCTCGCGTGTTCGAACGAGATTCAACTGCTCGTTTCTTCAAGGAATTCATGCAGACTGAGATTTAATGAAGGAATCGGGGAAGGAATTTTGACATGGATTCATCGACGAATTTACGTTTATTAAAAGTGATTAAATTACGTCACGTTAGAATGTGGCAGTTCTCGAGTCTCAAAGAACTTTCACGCATTTTACTTCGTTTTGTGATTACTCGCGACAAGTATCGTGTTTCTAAATTTTTTTTTAAAAAAACGCCACAGTCGAATAATTTTGTATAAAATAAATGAAAATAAATAGGTAACATCGCGAGATGAAAAATACCATTTTCAACAATTAGTAACTTGTAGCATAGCAACAATATTTTATAGAAATTAAGTATAAACAAGGTATAAATCTCGTGTGACAGTGGTAGCATTAACACAGAATAACCTTTTGTTCATTATTCTTCTTTGCATCTAGAATTAGCCAAATTATACTTGATAAATTTTCAAACTCAATCTTCTTGAAAATTTATTTACGTATTTATGTTTCCGACATATTTTTTCACGAGGAATCTTTGCCCGGTTGTATCACTGTTGTCGGAACACCCTGTGTTCAAATTTCTATTTTCTAGCTGATTTTTTATTAATTCATAAGCTAATTCTCGCGAAAAAATTCGTTTTTATTCGTAAGAATCTGCTACATTTCTGTTTACTTCTTCTTATGCATAGTATTTTTCATATACAATAATAAAGACTTTTGAATATGAAACTTAAACATGCACACAACGATAAATTTTTTGCAGAGAAGAAATAGTTCTACTTGAAAGTATTTATTCAATTTGTGAGTTCGAGGAGTTTCATTATTTGGAAATTAATTACTATCGTATATTGCAATTTCAGATCATCTAATTAGTCATTAATGAATAAAAAAGGATAAAAATAATAATGTATAGCTGTTAAAATTATTTGCATGGGTATCAACACATTGCCTATGCATATGCATATATAGTTATCTCATGCATCCTTTTTGTCAATTCGAAACATTTTCCTTATAAAGCGTGTGTGAAATTACGATATAATGTTGAACATCTATATCTGAAAGTAGGTTCAACATAATTTAATAAAAATTCAGTTTACTGTCAATAAAAGAATTTTCAAGTTCAACTATCTACCTTTAAAAAAAAAAAGAGAGACAGATGAAGATTAACGTACTTAATAAATTAATTCAAGAATAGGATTAAAATTCTTGTCGTTATAAATCAACGCAATACTGCACACGTTGTCAGTATCCATTAAATCTGTTTTCCACGGTGATAGTGAGCCGCGTCACACGTAAGCAAACGTTGCAGTGACCTCGTCAGCTTCTTGTTAAACAGATTACACCATTTCGCGTCGATGTGGCCGCCGTCTGTCTACGTTCAAACGCGCTGGCAAGCTTTTCGACTGCCAGGTCCTTTGTGTCGGGTCATCCTTTGACCCTCCGGCTCATATCAGCCGGATAGAGGCGTCGTCGTCGGAGCTGGATCGCAACGCCAGATCAACTTGGTCGACCATAGAAGACGACGATGTTCCTGGATGAAAATGTAAGGCGGACAGATCTGTTAGATGGAAACGAAACGAAAGGAAACGAAACGAAACGAAACGAAAGGGCCAAGGAGAGAAAAGCTCCTCGCTTTTCCGCCATTTTTTTTAATTCATCCCCTCTTCCGAAGAAACGACACGAACGAGTCTTATCGTCGAGGCACCGCGGAAGATTCATGGCGCCGGCGAATTAGCTTCGTTTTAGAATCTCGCGCGAGCACGAGGGAGGCGAAAGATTAATCTCATCCCTCAAGGCGGGAACGTTAGTCCTGATATTAGAACCTGGACCAAGAATCAAGGACGAAGTAATTGAGGCTCGTTGAGAGGCGTTAGAACTTCCTCGTTCGAGGTTGTGGAAGTTTGTTAAGCAGCCGGGACTGAGGCGAGGGGTGCAAATAGAAAAGAAGGCACGAGCGAGAGGATGGGGGGGGGAAGAAAATTAAACAAGAAAATGAGCAGAAGGGGGGAGGGGAAGGGAGGATAGACGTTTCGATGGTCGTGCAAG